AGTGTATCGTTGAACCATTTACAACATCTTTACAACGACATTCAATATGCCTCATTCACACCTATTTCAACCACACACATTACTCATTCACAGCGCACGGCACAAGTGCCCACATTCATCTACCACACGCAACACGCATGTCCATTTCATACACACAACATTTTAACATGCCATCTATACTCATTTCCAACCATTTACATTATTCAAGGACACGCTAACATAGCTATTTGCCCATATTGGACTCAATCATTTCACTCATCACATTCAATATCAATTGTTCAACATGTTTATACACATTTCCTACTCTCTATCTCAGCCACATTGCAACATTTAACGAAATAAACAGTAAATTAAACACAATGAGTTAGGATAGAGTTCCCCACCTTAACTTAAATGAAGACCCACACACCAAAACAACAAGGTAGGCGCTCCTTCACACGAACTTTGACCTAATTACATGTGAGAACCCCATGAGAACTCAAGGAGAACCGAGAAAAGAATGAGTGGGGACAAGAAATCATAAACCCTAACCATGGAAACTCACCTCCAAGCATTCCCAACACAAATCCAACCTTCAATCTAGCTCACGAACGTCTTTGGAGGCAATTTAATTGGTTAAATATAGTTTTGGGTCAATAGAATCGAAGGGACCTCAAAGAGAGAAAAGGGGAAAATGAGTTCCCAAGCCCTAGCTCCTTTAAATCTTCTCTAGTCACGACGCGCTCACTACAGCGAACCTTGCTGCAGTGACACCCTCTCTCGTTACAGCGAAAATCTCAGAGGGAATTGCATTCTGGTTTCTGTAGAATCTCGCTACAGCGAGATTGCATCCAAAAATACATCCTAAACTATCACTTTGTCGCTACAATGAGAAGGCGATAGTTTCATGCCTTCCTTCTAAGGCCCTCTCGTTATAGCAAGAATTCTCTCGCTACAACGAGAATGCCCAGAATTACACCCTTAACCTGTTTTTCAGTCCAATCATATACAAATACAATTATACTTATTTATATGCATTCATACACATCGACATCATCATCATGCAATCAAGTGTACACACTCTAACATCCACATCCACACACACACACACATATATATATATATATATATAAATACATAACACGAAAAAGTCAACGCAAACACTTATATTAATAATCAAACTATATTACAAAATTTGGGGCATTACAAGTATTATAAATTATTTTATGCAAATTATAATTATTCCTAAGGCGTGAAGATATTGACAATATCTTTGAATGGTAGGAAATATTACCTAATAGATTAGGGGAAATCTATAAGCCTAAAAGTGAGGATGGTTTGGGATTTTGAAATATTAATCTTGTGAACCAAACCTTCATAATGAAGTTGTGTTGGAGACTTATCACTTCTCTAAATGAGTTATGGCTAAGGTCATTTGTAGTAAGTATAAATTCTTTCTAGGGAAAAATCTTATAATTACTAATAACCAGAAATGCTCTCCCTTATGGAAGAGCATGGTTTTATTCTGGGATTGTTTTTAATAAATGTTTAGGTTGGATTATAAGTGATGGAATGTTAGTCAGGTTTTGGAAGGATAACTGGATCCATAACCAGTAGAATTTATCAAGTTTGGCTCTTCATCCCATTTATGAGGGTGATTTAAATGACCCTATGGGCTTTTTTTTTTCCATCAAGGTAGTTGGGATTTGCTTAGAATTAGGAATTTGTTCCCTAGGCCTATTTCTGAATTAGTTGCTCAAATCAATCCTCCTGTGATAGTCAATGGTTAGGATCATTTCTTTTGGAAATATTCCAACAATGAGACCTTTTTAGTTAAATAAGCTTACAACTTAATTATTGTTCTTAATCATACTAATTCTATGAATAATAATATTTTTAAATTAGTTTGGGATTAGGAGGGCCTCATACTATTTTTTTTTTATGAAAAATTGCTCATGATAGACTTTTAACTAATGAAAAAATATTTAACTATAAAATGACTAATTCTCCAATTTGTGCTAGATGTAAGGAAGCTCTTGATTCAGTAATTCAATTCATGTTTTTAGAGATTGTTGAAATGCAAAACTAATTTAGAATAGGTTCTTCCTCCTGATAGTTGTCCAATCTATTTTTAGCCTTAGTTTGTCCAATCAACTGTTTTACAATCTGTCTAAATTGAGTTTCCCTTTGTATCCTCTTTCGAACAAATTGTTTATGGTGGTTATTTGGAATTTGTAAAGAAATAGAAAATGTGTTATTTTCCATAATAACTCTATGAATAATGAGGTTTTGTTGAACTATTTATGATTTTGATTACTTGCAATCGTGTGGCAAAGACATGTGAAATGGTAACCCCCTCTAAATAGGCAACTCAAGCTTAATATAGATGTTCAACCTCTCAAGCTCTAGGTCTAGTTAGCTAGGAGGCCTGATCCGAGACAACTAGAGAAGATTCATAACTGAATTTTATAAATCCTTGGATCCCTACACCTTTCTTATTGCTAAACTTAGGAGAAATTTTTGAAGTTTTCAAATTGTTATTTCTAAGAACATCTAACTAAATTGGATAGAGTGTAATTCTAAAGAAGCTATTTCTTTAATTGTTAATATTCAGAGTTGTAAGTATTTTTATTTTTTTTGTAATTAATGAGATTATGAACTTGCTCAAATATATTAAGTTTGTTAAGTTTAATTGTGTTTTTAAAGAAGTTAACTACAATGTTGATTAATTGGTTAAAATAGGTCATGAGATTTAGTTTTTTTTTTCTATTTTGATAAAGTTTTATCTTTTTTAAAGTATTTTTTAAGATTATAAATTTTAAAAATTTTGTAACCTAAACTACTAACGTAAGTTTTATTTGTTTTTAAACTTTTAAGTCCGGTTTAATAACAAACAAAAATTTTGTTTATAAACTTTGAAGCTCTATTTAATAACAAACAAAAAAAAGTCATACGTAAGATAAAATATATAAATTAAAAGTGTAACTAAACCAAAAAAGCAATAAAAAATTATTAAGAGTGACGTAAAATTAAAAAAAATTATATAACAAGTAATTTCTAAAAGGTGATTTATCTTATGAATGTCTGGCCAAGTTATCTTTCAATGGTTCAACAGTTTAATATGTCCAGTCCACATGGAAAACTATGGAAATACTAAAACCGGTAAATGCCCTTAATTTTAGGGGGAAAAAATTTAGGGTATGTTTGATTTTTAGGTATTGAAATATGAAAACCGTTAATTTTCTTCCTGTTGAGCGAGTGATAATGATAAAATTTTATTAAATAAATATTTATCATGTTTTCTACTTTTAATATATATATATATATATATATATATATATATAATTTTTATAAATGTTTAAACTTAATTTAAAATTTAAAATTAGTAAAATCTTTAAAATAATCATATTTAATGACATTGCAGATTATCAAAATAAAATTCTAAATTTTTTATTTGATAAATAGTAATAACAACATTTTAATAAATATACTTATATTTTATCCTAATTTTTATCACTCGACCAAACAAAAAACTTAGGAGAAAAGTTTTGTCATTTGAGGATGATTATTTATGAGCTTTCCCCAAATAATTGTATGAGATAAATAACTACGTTTTAAATTGAGTGAATTTAGGACGAAGAAAAAAGTAGATTAACATTTTTAATAAAATAGATTAATAAAATCGAAACATTATATTAAAGATTATATTAATTTTTTATAGATAAAAGTTACTAATCCCGATAAGATCTGGTTATTTGTCCTATGAGTTAATTGGAGAAAACCTGATCTATGAACTGGAAAAAAGAAGAAGTTAAACTACAAAATTAACATTGCTTTTCCAGGTAAAAAAACGAAGAAGAGAGTGAGAGAGGGAAAGGCAGAGGAGTAGGGATGGCAATGGGTAAAATATAGGAAGGGTACATCTCTATACCTGCGTTTTAAAAAAATATCTGTATTCAGCTCCATACTGCGTGGGTATGAACATTAATCCCTGTATCCATACCCGTATCCTCTGGGTACCTGCATACCCATCTTATACCTATTATCCGCACTTGTTTGAGAAAAAAATATTTATAAAAAAAAATATGTTTATATAACTTCACATAAGTAGCATAATAATACAAATATTCAATATGTAGTTACTAAAGAAAGTAAAAATATAGATAAGAAAATAAATATTCAAAGATCATAAATGCTAAATATATTTTAATATAATAATTTTCTAAACTAAAATTCTTAGAAATAATAAGTGAAACTAAACACACAATTTATTTGTCAGTGATAACCCTATCTTGTGTGAGATTTGATTGATTGACAATATCAGGGCGATAACGAAATAGATTTGCACAATGGTTGTCACTTCGTGTAGGATCACTTGGTGACCTCTTGTGACGACATTAACAATTAACTCTAATGAATAACATTTTATGGTTGATAAGTTTTAATGAGACAAACGTTGAGAATGAGAATAGAGTTAGAGTAGAGAAGTTTAATACTAATAATAGAAAGTGGGTACATAAAATATTTTTTTTAACTTTTAAATTTGAAATTATAAGAAAAATAATAGATTTAATTAAAATAATATAACATAATTAATATATATATATATATATATATATTAATACTAGTATTTTTAACTCATATACTATACGAAAGTATTTTATTAAAAATATAAATTTTTAAAAAATTATTTTAATGAATTAAATATTTATAATGTATATAAATTTTAAAAGAAAGAATTTTTTTAAAAAATAAATAATTATAATAAAATTTTATAATAAAAAAATATACATGTATATTAAAAAAATTATATTTTTTATTTAAAAAAATTAATAAATAAAAATTAATAATAATTTTTTATATTTATATTTTTAAAAAAAAATTTAAACATAAATAAATAATAAAAATAGTATTATTAAAATTCAATATATTATAATTATGATTGTAAGTGCTATGTACTAGCAAACAGACAAAGACTGATCCTCAGAATTTGGATCTCCTTCTTCATCTTCTGCAATAACAAGTTTTAATTTCAATCAAGCAAACCAAAAACATCTAACTTTCCATTATTACACTTCATCCATTCTAAATCTTATTATAATAATATTTTCTCATCTTCCAAGTTCAGATTATTTATTTCTCCTCAAATTGTCATGTGACTCCGTTCATCAATTCTGCCTCAAGTCAACTGCGATCCAATGATTCCGTTGCATCGCCGCACTCTCATTTCCACATCATAGAGAAACCCATTACGATGAACAATTACCCTTTTGGATTCCAAGGCCCCAAGTCCTTTCCCGCGTACCCAAGAAGTGACTTCGACTTAGAATCAGGAACCACCATCAAACGAACCAGAAAGCCCAAAAGCTCTTCTTTTCACCCTTTCAGAATGATCAAAACACTCGGAAACCGTTTCCACCACTTTTTCAAGCTTCATCCCTGCATGGGTCTTTTCCTAGCCCTCTCCTTTGTCCTCACTCTTGTCATGTTTCTCTCCTTTTATGGCACCCAATATAAGATGCATAATGCTAATGCTAAATCTGATGTGGGTTTTGATGATTACCCTTTCTCAAAGCTTCATAACCTTGTGATGGTTGCTGGGCATTCCATTTACACCAGCAGCAATTGTGGCAAAATTGACAAAGAGGATTCTTGGTTTTTGGAGTCTTATCAAAAGAATCCTGGTCAAGCTGCCACTTTTGTGACACATATTTATAAGGGGGTTGAAATTGCAGCCAGGGATGACTCTGCTTTGCTCCTCTTTAGCGGCGGAGAGACTCGGAAAGACGCCGGTCCTCGCAGCGAGGCGCAGAGTTACTGGGCTGTTGCCGATTCGAAAGGATGGTTTGGTGAGTTATGGTGATTGTTTTGGCATTTGCATTGTGGCATTTTATCTGATTGTTGAAATTCAGTGTCTGTTTAATGTTCATTGTTGGGGATTATATAGGCCAGGAAACATCACCAGCGGAGAAGGGATAGAATTAGCTGATTCTACTATCAGGGGGTGTTTGGCAGGAAGATTCTTTTAAGTTTCTAAGAAATCTTCTGTGAGAACGTTAGATTCGCATATTTTGTAGGTGTATTTTAAAAAACTTTTCTAGGGAATGAAGGGGCTTTTGGTTTAAAATTTTTCTGTTTTCACTTTTAGTTACAAAATTGTCACCTTGTTTTCATTTTATTTCTTCTTTTCAAAGATTTGTATTGAAAACAGTGAAAAGAAAAAGTTATTTTTAGTGTTTCCTGTACAAATCTTTGAAAATAGAAATTAGATTAAAACCAAGGAGGCAGTTTAGTAAGTAAAAGTGAAAATAGAAAACATTTTCATCAACCAAATAGCCCCTATCATTCTCTATATGTTCTTTTAACTATGTTTTCTAGTAAAATACTCCCATGCGAGGGGTGGGAATTTAAATATATGTTTCGCACAACAGCTTTAGATGTGTGGTTTGTTGCTAACTAGTATTTAGTGTATCATTCTCTGTGTTAGACATGAATCAAAAAAGAAATTACAAATCATAATAATGAAAGAAAATTGAACATGGTAGATTAGCTAGGGAATTGAGCTGGTCTTTAGCTGCACTTCTGCGACCCATGTATGTGAATAGAACATGAGAATCAGCAGATTGCCTCGTTGTTTTTCTTAACTTATTGTCACCTTTCCTTATTAGCAACGAGATCACACTTCATGGGAAATAAAAAATTTACATTTAAAACATAATCTGTTAATTTTTAGCTGAATTAATTCTCATGTTATATACAATACTTGAGACAGTGGTTAGGTTAGAGACTTAGAATTGAAGAAAAAACTTGCTGGAGAGTCAGACCCTCAGCCATTCAATTATATAGATATTATTATACAAGCGAGGTCTCAAAATTTGGGAAGAAATCATACATAAATATTCTCGCCTAGTTACCTTAACTATATAAAGATAATAAAAGGAAATATTTACAACAATCCACAAACAATCTAACATAACCTCGGTTCCAACTTTTTATTTTACTGCTGCATCTTGAGTATTCTCATTCTATTCGAGTCCAACTTCTGTGATTTGAAAGCAATATAAAATTAGAGGAAATTTACTTCAAATAGGGAAAGAGAGGAGAGAATACATAGGGACTTTCTTTTATAAGCAAAGTTTTTTTTGGCTTTGACTATACATGTGGAGAGAAGTGCTAGGAATACACTCTAAAAAAGCAGAGAGAATCATTAAATAAGGTGTGTTAGAAAAAATGTGTTAAATAATAGATTGTGATACACTAGTACCAAGAATTGAGGTGGAAGATGATTATTATTCAAGAAAGATTCAAGAAAAATTGTTCTGTCCTATATCTAATGTAGGTGCAGAAAGACTCTCTCTTGCTGAACTAGAATACAAAAAGAATGATCTTTCAAACGTTCAGTGCAATACAAGAGGCACTAGTTCTCTCCTAACTTCTCAATAGCTCTCCCTCTACATACAGTCTGATAGAACTAGATCAAATAGAGAAAGCCCTAGAGAAAATAGATGAATAGAAGTGATAATATATGCATTATTCTCTAGTCCAACTCAAGATATTCGAGAGACCCTGTTCTCTTCCAATGCCTAAAGGCCCTAATCCTTTCACAAATGACCTGTTGATCTCTCTGTCCCTTCCTCTTAATATAAGGTCAATATGCCTTATTTTTTTCTACAATATTATTCTTCCTAACTACTAATTTAGTCTAATTAACTAACATCTTGTAACTAACTATGAGTCCTTAACTAACATATCATAACTAATTACAAATGAGAGTTACCTAACACGGTCCAATACATTTTATATGCTCCCTTCCCACTAGCTAAATCATTTGGCGCCATTGTTATCAGACCCATTTTGCCTAATCTGCCTAGTATAGACCCTTTTTATTATGGATCTATTTACATTATTGATATTATACTCCCCTGCAAAGCTTTCACCTTATCCTTAAGGTGAAAATTTGGAAAAGCTGACTGTAATGTAGACAATAGTTCCCATGAGTTCTCAAAGTCTGGTAGCCCTGCCCTAATAACTAGTACTTCTGCTTCTCATGCATCATTACACTGCAACTTCAACAACTGATAAGGTTGTAGTTGCAATTCCTAATCCTTTAAAAGTGCTACTAGAAGTGGCTAATATGTATAGAGACCTGTTGTAACTACCTCTCTTGAGGAGACTAACATGGAAACTAGATGAATTTTACTGTATTCTGAAATTGTTTAAAAGATGATTATTGTTCAAGAAAGTTGCAGTTCTTCCCTAGACCCAAACTCCCAAAGGTGTAAAAAGACAGTTTTTTGCAAAACTAGAATGCAAAAAGATTATCTTTAAAACTAGTTCAGTGCAATTTGAGAGGTATTGGTTCCTTCTTAACTTCTAAATACTTCTCTCTCTCCCTCATATGGTCCAATACATTTTTTATGTGTCCTTTCCTCTAGCTAAACCATTTGAGCCCATTATTATCAAGCCCATTCTTATTAGGCTCATGTACCTAATCTTCCTAGTATAAACCCTTTTTATTATGGGTTTATTTTCATTATTGCTATCAGATTAGCACAAACTTAATTTAATCTTTTTGTTTATTTTACAATTGTTATATAACTCTTGTAATTTAAAAATGGAAAATTTGTCCTCCCTTGTTACTCCAAAATGTCACTCCCAAATACCCTTAGTTTCATCATGTTCTCTGATTACTAGTTTATGCCTTGAACCTACTAACCTATGCATACGATAATAGAATTGTTGCTTTTTTCATTTAATTGCTATCGTGATTTATGTTACTAACAAAATTTCTTCTTTACTTCACTTCATAAATTTTTAATGCATACTCAATGACTCCAACTGTGTTAGTTGCTCACTCTTTTCCTATTTCTTCGTAATGTTAGCTAGATGAATCTCCACTGCATCATTTATCTCTGTTTTCTGAGGGTGCTGATATGGATGATATCACCTTTAGTCTATTGGCATATGCTTCCCTATTAAATCGCTTTTATCTGAAATTATCTCATTCTTTTGGATTGTTTGTGTAGGTAAAGAAGAAAGTGTGAAATGGAGAGCACTTACAGAGGAGCATGCACGGGACAGCTTTGAAAATCTTCTATTTAGTTTCTGTCGATTCCGGGAGCTTACAGGCACCTATCCCCAAAATATAACTGTATGCTAGCCTTGCTTATTTGAGTTGAGAAGCATTCTGTTCCTTTTTGTGTAAAGATGGAACATGTCAATATTTGTGTGAAGTGGCTAAAGTATGTAAAAAAGCGAAAAATGAATTTATCTAAAATCGCTTGCATTGTATGCAAGCTAAGGCTGCTCAGATTTTTGTAATGGCTGCTGAGAAATACTCTGAATTAAGTGTTCAAATATGCTATTAATATGCATACAGCACACATGTTGCATATGAAGTCTATCATTTTGTATTCCCAGGAAACTTAACACGGACTTATCTTTAAAGATCCTGTATAGGTCCCCTTGTTGCCTGTGGTAAACATTAAGTGTGTGCATCAAGTGACTAGGAATTATTATTAGTCCCTCAAGTCCTTTTTATAAGAAACAAAATGAAGTATTTTCTCGATTCGGTCCTAATTATAAGAAACATATGATAGATTTAAGATGTATTAATTACTAAATTTCTTTCATACCTTTCTTTTATTAGTGTCATTAAATAATAAATATACAAGCCACCAACTAAATCATTAATATTATAGGTGTTTTTTGAATAAAATTTTATGAAAAACATAACTGATTTATTTATTTTCCTTAATTTTAGTAATTTTGTCTTTTGTTTCTTATAAAATGACCGGAGGTACTAATATTTTTTTTTGGTGGTGGTGGGGGAGGGGAGGATATTGTACTTCTCATTCTTTTTTATATTATGATTTAGGGAACGCTTATTGACATTTCATTTCATGGTGGTATTATCAATTGCACCATATAAAAGTATGATCCCATGGACTAACAAATTTTGGCTTCTATTGTTACATTTAGACCTTTGCATGATGGCCACTGATGCCATACACATTTGACTTGCACTCCTTTTTCCTTACATATTTGTTGTGTGTTTCAATTTGATTTGTTGAATCTAAGAATAAGGTTGTAAGTTAGGAATTCAAGAAAAAAATTTGCTTTTATTATTGCATTTAGACCTTCTCTGCATGATGGCCACTGTGATGCCTGCACATTTGACTTGCACTTCTATTTCCTTACATATTTGTGGTGTATCCAATCTGATTTGTTGGATCTGTGAATCAGGTAGTAAGTTATGATTTCAAGGAAGAAAGATTTGCGCATCTACATCGATCTGCAATTGGCTTTCCAGAATCAAGGTTCTCCTATGCTGGCACCCCTGCTACATCAAATGCGAAAGCTGCTGCTCTAAGAGGCGAGGAATTGGTTAGAACTCAATTCCAAAGAGATCCATATGGATGTCGAGGTTCACTTTATCACAAGAAACTAAAGCGTGACCCTTTTCATCGGTCAATTCCTTATCCTAATGGGTGTCCTGAAATTGAAGCTTTATTCAGATATTGTGAACCAACTCCTTATCCTGGTGCACTCCCTTGGGCACAATAGAACATGACTCAGTCAAATTATACATGTGTAAAGTAACAAATTAGAGATATTAGATACAAATTACGTTGACTTGACATTGCACGAATTTGTTGATAAATGATTTGAAGAGTAAATTTTGTTGTGGGATGATGATAAATTGTGTAGATCAAAATATTGCTTCGGGTAGAAAGAGTGTCCAAGGTTTGTGAAAGGTGGTATATTAAAATTTTTGGTGTTCTCAAATTGACGAATGAGTCAGAAATCTGGGAACTGCATTGTGTAGAAAGAGTGATGAATGCATTTTGTTACATGTGTTATTACCTTAATGTTGATACTGAAGACACATCTCGAAAAATATTGGAGAGTTATATTATTCATACCATACTGTTCTACATTTTTTTTACAATACTATGTATTCTTTTTTTATCTTTCTGCATTAAATTAAACTCTTTATTCTTTCTTCATTAAATTAAATATCTTCACACACTCTTGATGCTCTAAGAGTGATGAAAGATATGCAACAAAGAAAATTAAGAAAGAATGGAAGAAGAATAATGTATTATGATTTTATTTTTTAATTTTAAGGTAACTAACTAATTATGTACTACTTATCTAGAAATACTCCTTCTCTCCACAAGTTGGAGCATAGATGTCACTGAGTAAGATATACTTATCTAGAAATACACCTTCTCTCCACAAGTTGGAGCATAGATGTCACGCAAGCTCAACTTGGAGAGGATAGGATGAATGTAAAGGTTTGGTGAAGGCATCAACTAATTAGGCAAAGGACTAGATTGGTAATAGGATGAATGTAAAGGTTTAGTGAAGGCATCAACTAATTTATTACTAGTGACAGAGTAATCTATTTTGATACGTTTGCTTTTCTAATGAAAGGTTAGATTATGAGCTAAGTAAATTGCATATTTATTACTACAAAATATAGTACCAGATTACTGAAGTGAGATTTGTAAATTTGTCAAGAGATAATGGATCCACTAGATTTCACAATTGAGGCTTACTAGAGCTCGATACTCAGCTTCAGAGGAAGATCTAGATAGGGGTGAAAAAAATCTGAATATAGAAGTTCAATCTATAACTCAAGCTAAACTGGATTTAAAAATTCCAACTTAAGAAAAACTAAGATATCCAATCCACTTTATTTTGGTTCAGACATGATTTGGATTCCATTTTACAAAACTAGATTTACTTTTATCAAAATTGGTTTTAGTACTTCCTCTATGTAGTCTTTGCAACGGGCCCAATGTGATCTTCTACCTAAATCAGAATTTCACTTCAAGCTTGGAGCAACTCAAGTCACCGAAAACTTCATTTTTGTCATGTGTGGCTACAACTAGCAGTTGAGAATAATTGAAGATCCTTCCCATGTTGATTTTGAGCCAATCATCAGAATTTCAAGATGTCTCTTTCAAATTCTTTTCTCAAATGTTGACTATATATTCATTGTATAAAGAAACGAGTATTTTAGATAAAATTATAAATTCAAAATTATATATATATATATATATATATATATATATATATGCGCCACGCATAGAGCTTAGGGGTGCATTATCTGATTATTGAAGTTTTGTGGATAACCTCATGCTATAAGTTCATTTTAAATTAAATTAAATTAATTATTATTTTATTCTCAACATAAAATAATAACAATAATATATATATATATATATGAATTTTTTTAAAATATAAGATAATAATATAAAATTAAAAATAAAATTTTTTACAAAGATTAAAATAATATTTAAATTATTGTAATAAATAATTTTAGATCTTTTTTTTTGTTTTTAATTACTAATTAAAATATTAAATATTTTTATATTTTGTAGTAATATATATTATTTTGTGATATTTTGAATCTTAATAAATATAATGTGACACCCGAACATGATTTTAGTAAAACATACATATGATTTGAATAAAAATAATATATATATTATTTTATATTTATATTTATTTTTTAATTTTAAAATATTATAACATAATAATTTTATTATTAATTTTTATTTTTATAGATTTTATTTTAAACTTTCATCATTAACTTTGTTTATTAAAAATAAGTTAAAAATGATAATAAATATTTTATAAATTTTTATAAACTGTAATACAATTAATAAATGTTACTAAAATCTTCTTAAAATGCACTAATTTAACGCAACGATGTGTACAACAAATTAGTTTTACCTTAAAAGTTAAATTCACAAATATATTGAAAATCAGTTTTGCCTTAAAAATTAAATTTAAAACTTGATTTTAAACTAATTTAATGCCAAACTAAATTTGAAACTAGTTTCAACAAAAGCTAAATTTAAAATTAATTTTAAACTAAATTCAAAATTTAAAAATACTTTTAAATCGATTAAAAAATAAAATAAAATAGTTTAAAATTTAATCTATATAATTAGTTTGTATAGTGGACAGATGATAAAAAGTAGAATATATATATAAATATATATTTATTTAATATAATATAAAACTAAGAAAAATTATATTATTAATAAATTAAAATATATGTAGATATAATTTTATATTAGTTATTATAAAATTTAAATATTTTTTAATATAATAATTTAATAATAATATAAAAAATGTTTATAGTATATTTTTACCGGATTTAAAACTGGTTTTAAACCAATCTAAATTTTAAAATTAAATTTAAACCGGTTTTAAAAAATATTAAAATAGATTGTTTATAATCCAATCTATATAATTAGATTTTAAATGGATCTAAATTGATTTTTAAAAAATCTAATCCATACACACTCCTAGATCTAGAAATGGTGCTTTGCTTCTTGGATTTACAGAATATAAGAGAAGATCCAATAAAGGCAAAATAACCAATAATAGATTTCCTAATATCTAAGTAACATGCCCAATCAAAATACACAAATTTTGAAAGTTTTAAAACAAAAGAACTTGGAAAAAAACAACCCTTTAGCTGGTGTTGATTTAAGGTACTTAAGTACTCTAATTGCAACCTAAAAATGAGAAATCAGAAGCTTAGCCATCAATTGACTAAGTTGTTAAATGAATAGGCTATATTTGACCTAGTGATGGTGAGATATAATAGTCTACCAACAAGTCATCTATAACTTCTTTCATTAGAATATGGATTGTCTTGGTTCTGAATACATTTTCATAGAAGGATTGAAAGGAATATCAACAGGTTTGGATTCCAATAAGGCACTTTTTTCCAATAACTCTAATGTGTACTTTCTTTGATTAAGCATGATTCTTGACTTCGATCTTGCAATTGTAAGACCCAAAACATATCTTAGTTGGCCAAGGTCTTTGATTTGAAATTGATCATCAAGAAACCTATTAACTTGCAAAATCATCCACATACACTAAAAAAAGTTATGAATGAATGAGAATTGATCTTAATAAACAAAGAATGATCAACATTAGATTGCTTATAGTTTAATGAAAATAAGGTACTGAAAAGCTTGGAATACCATTAGCAGCTGGCTTGTTTTAAATCATAGAGAGATTTGGTCAGCCTGCATACTTTGGACGGATTAGGGAAAGGAAGACTAGGAGAAGAACCATGTACACTTCTTCATAGAGATCTCTATATAAGAAGGCATTATTGACATCTAATTGCTCTAAGTACCATCCCTTAATAGCACACCAGTAGAACTCGAACTATAGTTAACTTTGCCAAAAAGAAAAATGTATCAAAATAATCAACACCTTCCAGTTGTGTGTAACTCTTGGCAACTAGATAAGCTTTATGCCTCTCAACACTACCATCTACATGTCTCTTGATTTTATAAACTCACTTATAGCCAATGGGAATTTTTCTAAGAGGCAGATTCACTATGGACCAAGTTTGATTTTTCTCAAGAGCTTGTAATTCAGCCTGCATATCCCTTTGTCAACAGTCTAATTTGGAGGCTTAATGATAGGTTGTTGGTTCAACAATAGAAGAGATAAATAAACAAAATTGTTTATAGGCATAGGAACAATTATCATAAGAAACCACAGATGAAAGAAGCTAAGGAATTGCACCTGAAGATGAAGTAGTAGAGCTAACTACAGTAAGGCTACAATGATAGTTCTCAAGGTAACTTAGTTTCTATCTGATTCTGCTAGATTGTCAGATAGGTGGGTGTTGGCATGTTTCTGCAATAATATAGGTGCAAAATCTAGACCAAAATGAGTAATGTAAAGATACATGTTTGTGGCAGGTGTAAGAGAGAGGTTGATGTTGAAGAAATATAAGTATTAGTTTTGGATAAAATTACTTGAGGAATGCTATTGGTGATGCCTGTAGGACCTAAATTATTTGCATGAAAGGAGAAAATGATATATCCTTTTGTCCTTTCTTTGTAACCCAAAAATACACATTTTCTTAGCTCTTAGTTGAAACTTAGTTTTATGAGTTTTAATAAAAGTGTAGGAAGTTTGAAATTTTTCAAATTTTTGTGGCAATTATCCTTGAAAGAATAGAGCACGGGCCATATTCAAAATGTGTTAATACTTCCTTTCAACAACACCATTTTGTTGTGGTGTTTCCATACATAATCAATTCTTATGTGTTTAAACTTGACATTAAATTGAGTTTCAATAAAGGAAACAAATATGTCTTTTGGTCTCATCTTTAGTTTTTAGCAAAATAATCCAAGGAAATCTATTGAAATCATTAACCAAAGCTGCAAAATATTATGTTCAAAAATTGATGGAATAGAATATGGACCCTAAACATCAAAACCAAGTAATTCAAAAATTGTATTAGATTTGGTAGTGTTATGATAGTATGATAATTTGTGCTATTTGACAAAATGAAAAACATCACAATGGGATTGAATATGAAAAGGGATGATAAGTTCATATTTTTATATATTTTATGACTTATATTTATACACTTAAAACTTTATTTTATATATATTTACACTAATTATGTTATTAATTGTTGCAGTTTAGCTAGAAGTTGTTATTAGTGCATTATGGAGATATTCTGAATGAAAATTAGATAATTTTAGTCCTTGGCTGTGCTATTTGAAGCTGGGTTTAAATTTTGAATTTAAAATTTAAATTTAGATATGAAGATTTGGAGCGATTCTGATTGTGGATAAAACTGATTTGAAAAGATAGAGTTTAACTAACTGAAAACTCAAGGCACAACCTATATAAAGAAGCCTTATGCTCTACACTTGACACTCCCACTTCTCTACATACCTTCTTCCCCTTCTTAGTTCTACCCAAACTCATCTTTGAGAGTCATTG